ATATTTCTAATAGACGAAGATGTCCATATATTCAGTTTTCGTCCTTTTTTTCGTGTGTATAGAAAGACAACTCTTAATCAATTATTTTCCTTTACAAAAAAGAAATATTAGAAATATTTGATATAAATCTTCTCTGAACAATTCAGTATCTCAAAATACGTATTCTGGTGGATAAAAAATTGTAGAGAATAGCAAAAATTCAAAAAATGTCCTACAGTACCCACTATTGATGTAGAAAAGTTGTTGTTGTTGTTGTTATTATCGATTAGAATAACTCTGTGAGATACTTAACGATTCAATCTTTCACGCAATTTAAAAGAGACAATTTTCTAACTGCTTAGATCGAAATAAAAAGGAGAGGGAGCTTCGTTTTTAATATTCAGTTTATTGTCCGTTCATAGACCGACCGGAAAACGGCTTCCTAGAGAACCGGATTCGCTACAGAACCTGGTTTTTCAAATTCTAGAAGTTCGTAAATCCCTAAATCCTAAATTCAGAAAGTCTAAAAGGAGGAAGGAAATCTCAAATTTAGAACTTTGCTTTATGATGAACAGCCCTCAAAAGCCGGTTGAGAACTAGTTATGAGTCCAGCTGACGTAGTGGAAACGTTGTATGAAGTGTGAATCAGTGAGGTCGACAGAGCACAAAATTCTCTGTCTTTCTAGCTAGAAAACCATCAATAGTCTCCGGAGCTTAGTGGCTGGACATTGAACGTGGTCTGGTGACTCACTCTCATGCTCACCCACCCTACGCTTTTACGTCTTTGCGCCTATACGCCTAGAACGTATATATCTAAAATCTCGTAATATATGAATATCAGCAAAATAATTTCTTCACTTTTAAAAACTCTGCCGGAGTTTCATAGCTGTCAATTGATACAGTGAAGGTCTGTAGTATAAACATGAATTCATAGTATCGACCTATCATACCAATATCACACAAACATACTTTCACAGTTTCATAGTATCACAGTAATACTGTGAATTTCATAGTATCGCGGTATCATAGTATGACTTTCATAGTTTCATAGTATCACAGTATGAGTTTCATAGTTTCACGGTAGCACAGCAATACTATGAATTTCACAGTATCATGCCTGACTACCCGGGGGCGCAGGGGGAGGGGAGCGGTAGTATGAGAGTGAGTTACAAGCAGCATCGCACTGCTTCTCCTTAGGTGAATAAAGTATGAAACTGTGAAAGTCATACTATCATACTGTGATAGCGGGAAAACGTGAAATTGTTTTTGTGTGGTATTGGTATGATAAGTTGATACTATGAATTCATGTTTATACTATAGAGTTTCACTGTATCAAATGACTGACCTCCGGAGTTTGTATGTATTCGATTTTCGATAGTGTCGAAATTTTTCAATGGAAATTCGACAGGCTTTCGACAGTGTCGAATTTGGACTAAAACATTTCGACAGGTTAAAAATTCGACAGTGTCGAAGTTTTTTAACTCAGAATTTGACACTGTCGAAATACGCTGTCGACAACTGTTTCTGTCGACCTACGAAATTACCCCCGCGCAGCAGAGGGAACAAACCACACAAACCTTTTCGGGATGTTCGTCACGTATGTGCAAGAAATATCCGTAATAAACCTAACCTAGAAAACTAAAAGATACCGAAATTGGTTCTTATTAGTAACAAATGCAGATACCCTTTTTTTGGTTTTGTAGGATACCTTTTTTTTATTTTTAGAGAGCAGGTGCGTGCTTTTTATGGAATTATTAGTTATTAACTTGTTCTTGACTGGGATATTGATTTGTTATTACACGGTTTTAGCCATAAAAGTCCCTACACTTGATAATATTATCACGACCCAAACAACCAAACCTTTATATTCTGCTCCATCCACCACCACTGCCACCAATAGTGACAATAATGATCCCATTTTTAAGGCGATTCATTCTCCTTTGGATAAAACCACTTATTACGGCCATATCAAAAATGAATATTTTCCGAGTGTCTATTTACCGATGAATAAAGAGGGTTTAGATCAATCATGCGAACAACAGGAACCGAGAAAATTAGCAGCGCTCAATATTGAGGAAGGAAAAAATTGGAATGATTACTACTCCTATTACAGTAATCTTGTAAGTGACAGCAATAACAATAAACAATATCGTTATAAGACATTGTATTTAATCCGTCACGGCCAAGGCAAGCATAATCTAGCGGAATCCACTTACGGTAGTGTCAAATGGGAAGCCGAATTGGCTCAATTAGATGATTACCTTGACGCTCAACTGACAGATCTAGGAAATAAACAAGCAGAAATATTATTAAATTATGTACAAGATGGTGTGGAGAATGATGGGTTGAAAATAGATTATGTGGTTGTATCGCCACTATCAAGAGCCATACAAACCGCGTTAGACGGAGTATATCCAGCGCTCATAAATAATAATAAAATTAAGAGCATTGACAGTGCTAGTAAAAATCAATCTGTACCTATCGTAGCATTTGAATACGCCCGTGAGACAATTGGACGACATACCTGTGATAAGCGTAACTCAAAAACCATACTGCAGCAGCGATTTTCCTCGGTCAATTTTGACTACTTGCTGGATGAAGAGGATGCATTGTGGACTCAAATGAGAGAAACATACGCACAGGAGATTTTACGTGCAGGAAAGTTATTAAAGATATTGTTTGAACTGCCATATAAGAATATAGCGGTTGTAGCACATAGTGGAATATTGAGATGTATTACCAAACAGCTGGGAGCTGTGATAAATGAAGGAATGATAGGCAATGTGGAAACAGGGATTGGATCCGGAATTGGCTTGCAGAATTGTGAATTTCTGCCGGTGTTGGCTGTCCAGATTAGAAACTCACAACAGCAACAAGAATTTTTCATCAATAAATAAATAAAGTATAGAAATAAAAAAAACAAGAATAATCAGTCGGCTTCCGGGTTCTGCTTTATTATATGCCTTGTGTTTCTTCTCTTTTGTCTGTAACAACTGTCTTTTGACAGTGTTATTATTATACAATCTGTCAAGAAAAAAGACCTTCGGTAGCTCGCACACGCGGATGTGCTACACTTTTAATATGTTACTACTGCTGGACTAACGAGGGAGGTCCACTAACTGCCCAATTGCTTTTGAGACGAAACCTAGTGGGTGATAGGTAATTGACGATGCTGATTCCGAATATCGACATGAGGCTGGCAGTTAGACCTTCAAAGATCCGTTTTCTGGAAAACCATTTCTTGAGAAACTCTGAAAAATAACAAAAAACCTTTCTTAATGAGGCATGATTGTAGTCCGCACATTTCTGATTAAAATGAGACATCTCCCAGCTCTACACAACCTTTCTTTGCAAAGTTATAGAATTTATAAGAACAGTCATGTAGAGCTGGAAAACGTCTCATTTTAATCAGAAATTTGCGGACTACAATCATGCCTCATTAAGAAAGGTTTTGTGTACTTTTCAGAGTTTCTGAAAAATTGGTTTTCTAGAAAGCGGGTCTCTGGAGGCATATCTGCCCGTCTCATGTCGATATTCGGAATCCGCATGGTCGATTACCTATCACCCACTAGGTTTCGTCTCAAAAGGGGTGAGGGTGGTGAGACAGTTGGACAGTTGGTTGACCTCCCTCATAGGTGGAGTTTAACCCTTAAGTCTCAGTGGTAATATGCATGACAACAACAACAAACAAGCATGTCAGCCTGTAATATTTAAACCGATCCTCGTTTAAAAAAATACAACTTGCATTGAGAGTCAATTATTGGCAAGAAATCATGGCTTGCATTTGTGAAAGTTCAGTGTACTTTCGACTTTCGCCAATTGGCGAAAGTACACTGGATTGTCGCAGTTTGGCGAAAGTCATATTGGCGCACCTCTCGATTCCCAAATTTTGCATTGTTGATACCTTACCAAAAGCTTTGAACCAAGTAAGTTGGTCTTTCCAGACGAAATATTGAGATGTTCTCTTCCGTTACCAAATCTTTATCTTGGTCACTTCTGAGTACTCAGACCAAGTGCGTGGTTAACTGGGCACTCTAAACGAGCGGTTAACGTAACTGACAACCTTCCACGTATTGTGCCTATTTTGTCTTCGGAGCTAGCCAAATGGGTCGGTTAACCGATATGTCAAAGGTACATTTAGCTAGCTCCATCAGGTGAACAACCGCCCAGTTACATAGTCCACGGACCCAGGTTTTCTGTATAGAGTATTTTCGCTTGAGCGTTCGGTGCCAGGGCTGGGTAACTCCGCTGACTTTCAACTCCAACTCCGTTTTCAACTTTCCAACTACAACTCCAGCTCTCTCAACAAAAATCTCAACTCCCGTTCAACTTCGGTTGCTTCACTTTTGTAAGGAAGATTTTTCGATTTTTAACAGGATTATGGACGTTTTTTCCGGCAGGAAAGCGCAAAGAACTTCCGAATTCACTCGTGAATACAGCCACTCAATCGTTTAGAAGATCAGTTTAGAACTATTGAATATTTCCAAAAATGCAAAACAGAGTTGAGAATAAAAATTCAAAAACCCAACTCCAACCTACTGAAATCTCAACTCCAACTCCGTCAAGGTCAACTCCTACTCTGCCAAGAAAATCCTCAAAAAGTTGGGGTTGCCCAGCTCTGTTCGGTGCTGATCAATAAACCCTGACTTGGATTGTTGCATGCCTGTTCCGTAATAGTTCTGACGTATCAATCACACTATTTTGGCCGATTAGGAAGCTTGTTTAGTTACTAATGTAAAAGTTGGGAGTGATTACAAGGTTCTTTCTTTCGTCCCATAAGTCCTTTATGGATGAAAAAGACAATTTAATATCAACGCAAAAAATCGACAGACATGTTCAAAGAAGTAGAAAATCGTTCCCGGACTATATCGTACACGATTTTCTAGGAGTGCTTATATGCATTCGCCGTGCATTTTCTATTTGAAAAATCGCGAGAAAATGTGTGTCGATTTTCTGGAAAATTAATGCCTATTTTCCAGAATATCGTCAGAGTTTTTCGAACCTGAGAATAGGGGTTTTCTACATTACGTCTTTACTATTACGAAAAATTTGAAAAGTCGCAGAGATATCCGGCATACGTAAAAATTCTAAATTTGAAATTAAGCGATGTTGTGCAGTGGAGATGTAGTTGAACTTTTAGAACTTATGAACTTCTGGAATTTGTGAATTTATGATTTTCTGAATTTAGAGATTTACAGTTTTTTAGAATGTATGAATTTACGAACTTCTAGAATTTGAAATACCAGGTAACTTTGTGACTATTCTGAAGTACTAAGGATGAAGGGAGATTGTTCCATTCTTTGTAAAGTCTGACGAGTGATTAGAGGTGAGATAAGATTGTGAGAAGAAATAGGGCTTCTACGGTGATAGATTTTTTGAAAGTAAGTGATCCTGTAATATTAACGACGCACTGATAAAGATAACAGTTTCAGTTTTTTGAGAAGAAAGCCTGAAGAACTTACATAATCTTGGAGAATAATACGAGAAGCTAAACGTTGAACCTTGTCTAACACTTTCAGATGAGAAATGAAATCAGAATCAAATAGTACACAAGAATATTCAAGCACCGGACACGTTTTATACAAATGAAGACGCAGAGAATACGGAGAATCGCGAAAAACTCGAGAAATAGAACCTAACATTTTGCGGCAAGTTGTAGTGATGAAATCCAGATGTGTTTTCCATGTTAAACCTGAAGGTCTTGAACCAAAATATTATAGGGGTTATAGGTTATCGAGCATGCTGATGCCGAATATGACCATGGAGGCTTCCCATAGATCTTCGAAGATCCAGCCTTCTGGAAAACCAGTTTTTCAGAAACTCTAAAAAATAACCAAAACCTTTCTTAACAAGACATGATTTTAGAGTGCAAATTTCTGATTAAAATAACACATCTCTGAGCTCTACATGACCTTTCTTTGCAAAGTTATAGAATTTTCAAGAAAAGCTAATTATTAATTTTTTCTTTCTTTTGTAGCTTTTGAGCTGAGGCTTTTCTTGTAAATTCTATAACTTTGCAAAGAAAGGTCATGTAGAGCTCAGAGATGTGTCATTTTAATCAGGACTTTGCTCTCTGCAATCACGCCTTTTGCTTAAAAATATTGGAATATACTTCAGACAAATAAAGAGGAACGTGAATGTATTTAAATATACTTAGTCAAATATACGTTAGTCAAAAGAAAAGGAAAGAGAATATTGTTAAATTATACGAGAAGAAATACAAGAGAAAAAGATCAGACACAGAATAATAACGCGTGACCGAAAAACAAAACAATATGCACTGCAAGTAATACCGCTAAACTACAACAAACAAATTTTTTCTCTTATGATCCGGTTATAGTGCATGTTATAACATGATGTATTTAACAAGCGTCATGAAAAATTAATTTAGGGATAAAGATTAGATTTAGATTCTTGTTATACAGTCCACGATAGTTACTCTTAAAGGTGACATAAGATTCCTCGTTAAAAGCCTTCTAGTTCAAAAAAAATAAAACTTTTATCACATGGTCCCTATAGGGACCAAAGGGCAAGAAAGGGTTAAAACTAACTTTTTCTTACTCAGCTTGATGTCCTCTATCCAACTGTGTATAAATATATCGAAAAGAAAAAGTCATGGAAACTTCGAATTAAGGGCACCTTACACAGTGCGAACTCACGAATTCAGCTCAAAATCGGCTTTTTTTAGGGACGCTTTAGTGGACCCCCTTCAAAGTTATGAGCGCTAGGACACGACATAAGACCCGGGTCCTCTATTGTGTCCATTCCTTTAGTCGGAATTCTCAACTAGTTAGAACGGATCAATGTCGGCTGGTCGCCGTTTTTCGACTAGCCGTTAACTAGTCAGTCAGTTCGCGACTAGTCGAAATCATAAAATCAGTCGTTCTCCGTTTTCTTTTCTTGTTTGTACTATTTTATATAAACTACTGATTATTTCATCACTAATTATTAAAAGACAGCGAAATTTTGTTCTTCATACTTGATCAAATAGGTCATCGAAACTTGTTCTGAGTGGGAGTCGAAGTTCGCACTGGTCCTTGAATTGGATACTGGTTTTGAGATAGATACTTCAGAAAGTGTCTCGAATTCCCAGTTTGACTGGCTACATCAAATCCGACTAGTGACTAATCGGTTCTGACTTTTCATCAGTCGACGAAATGGCACTCCAACGAGTCGTTTTGGACTTCCGACTAGTGACAAAAAGTCAAAATCGACTAGGAAAAAGACTAGTCGAACCTCTGCATCGGAATTAATAAATCAGCAATGTTATGATCTGCCTTCCCCGGCAGCTCATAAGGTTCATTCTCTCTCCATTCTGCTCTTGTACCATTCTTGCGCAAAACTTGTTTAATTCTTCCGTTTTCTTTTCCTTCCGCAGTGTGTTTTCTCAACTCTTTCTATTCTTGCGCAACACTTGCGTCATCCTGTGATTTTCCTAACTCTTTCTGTTCTTATGTAACTCATGCGCAACTCTTGCAAAACTGTTGTTTAACTTTTGTACTATATATAGCCGTTCATTTGCTTCAAATAAAGAAGAGAGTGGGAGTTGGATCTCACAAGCAATCGAGCGTACTTGGCTAGCTAATTCTCCCTGAATCTTTGCTGAAGATTTTTGTTGCTTGTTCCGTGTACGGGTGGTTAATAAAGTTTTACCAGTATTGATATTATTTCTTTTTTGTGACAGAATGAACGGTCACGAATTTATATTTATAAACACAAAAGTTTACGCAAATTCTGAAAGCTGTGTTAGGCTTAGCTTTACCCCATTTTGACGTACAATTTTGAATTTATCGCTCTGTTACTTGGATAAAACTTGGACACATTGACAGAAAGGCCTTAGTTGTTTGAAGAAAAGGCGAAAAACGTTTTGCTGCGATTTCAATAAAATTCCTTTACG